TGTAAGTCTGTATCTGTGGCCTTTTGGAATTTTATATTCCATGCTCTCTATTTCTTTACAAGGGTAAATAGATGCTAAATCTTGGGTGATGCTAACTCTGATTCTTTGGGATCTGAAATATTTCTATCTGCTTGCAGTATTTTTTTTCTTTGACCTTTTCTTTTGAGTTCTGATTTTTTGTTAAAATGTTCCTAGGAGTTTTTGTTTTGGGATTTCTTCCAGGAGGTAAACAGTGGATTCTTTTGATTTTCATTTGCCCCTTATTCTAATAGATCTGGGAAATTTTCTTTCATGATTTCCTGAAATACGATTTCTAGGCTTTTTTTTTTAATTCATAGCTTTCAGGTAGCCCAACAATTCTTAAATTATCTATCTCCCCTCGATCTGCCTTCAAAGTCCATTTTTAAAATAAGAAATATTTTACATTTTCTTTTGTATAGTCTTTTGACTTTGTTTTAATCTTATTGTCTCATGGAGTCATTAACTCCATTCAAGGCATTCTAATTTTTTTTTTTAGGCAATTGGAGTTAAGTGACTTGCCCAGGGTCACATAGCTAGTAAGTGTCAAGTGTTTAGTCTGAGGTTGAATTTGAACTCAGGTCCTCCTGACTTCAGGGCTGGTGCTCTATCCACTGCGCCAACTAGCTGCCCCAAGGCATTCTAATTTTCAAGAGTCTACTTAGGTAAAGTTTTGTACCTCTTGTGCTATGCTGTTAGTTCTCTTTAAAAATCTTCCTCTAAAACTCTCGTTTATTTTCCAATTATTTTCTCTAGCATTCTAATTTCATTAGTAACATTTTAAATTCCTTATTATTTTCTTCTAGGGAGTCTAGTTGACCTTGTAGTCAAGCTTTGTGTTTTCCTTTAAGATTTTACTTATAGGTATTTTGGAATTATTCTCCACTTCTTGGGTATCCTTGGCATCGTAATAGCCCTTTATCATTGCAACTTGTTCTTCTACCCTCATTTCACACATTGGGACTTTGTGTTAGGTCCAGGCTCTGTATACTTCTAACAGGATTGTTGTGGTGGCTTTGTATTGTCCTGGCTTGTCTTATCTGGAGTTCTAATACTATGTTCAGGTATTGAATGCTGTGTTCTTCAAAGATCATAGGGGTGGCTTAGTCCAGAAAGCTGTAAACTTTCAGTGGATCCTATAAGGTCTGCTCTAGGGTATGGTTTGATTGGTGCTATCCTGGACTTTTCAGGCTCCCAGTGTGGGTCTAGGCAGCACAGTGACAACTTGCCCCTGGATGGGGCTCCAGTACACATTGCTGGTCCCAGTCCATTAGCTAGCTGAAAACTTCTTCAGGTTCAGGGTGACACTGTTGTCTGTTTGCCCCTGTTCTGAGCCCAGGAATTGAATATAAGATCCCACTTAAGTTCAGATCAATAGAACTACATACCTGTTTTGAGCCCAGGGACTAAGCCCATGATTCTGGCCCACCCCTGTTCAGTAGTTCCTGCCCTAGTTACTTCCCTGAGTCTTCTTAGATTTCTTGATCACTATTCAATATGGTACTCTTCTTAGATCTTTGTTGGAGTAGTTGTTGGAAGAATTGGACTGTTATGGCTTCCTCCTACTCTGACATCTTTGCTTGTCAGTCCCACAGGCAACTCTTCAGGACTCATCAACTAAGTATAGGGTTTGATAAGATCTGAAAGATGTTCCTACACCTACCACCACACCCAGGGCTGATAAAAATCACAGATCTTACTACTTTTCCCTTTCACTAAAAACTGGGTCTATGTCTTTATTACTAAGGAATCAATTTACCTTTTCCAAAAGAGAACATGAAGAAGACAGATTTACCAAATAAGAAGTTATTCAGTTGTATGACAATTACATTAAAGTAATTTCAATGAAAAGTAGGCCAAATTATCTTTTTGTTCCTTCCAGTTCTAAAATAGGCTTGTGGGTACGGGTCTAGACTAGTACATAACTAAGAGGTTTATCATTTTGTTGTATCTAGAAGATAGGGTGTTTCTGAATACACGTGGATTTCAGTACATTCTGAAACTATCCTAGACATTACCTCAAGGGGGTAGTTGCATCTACATAAGGAAAGGAGTAGTTAAATGTTCTTTGACATATCAACTTAATGTAGTAGCTACTGTTTTATAATTAGGCAACTTTCAAGAGATATTTTCAAACAATTCAGTTAATCCAAGTTTTAGAAAGAACCACTTGGTTCCCACACATTACAATCCAAGAATTTCTCAGAAGCAAATCAGAGAAATGTGTGACTGGAAGAAAAAAAAACCATGGGGCAAGAGCAACATGGAAGCCACATTTACTCTACTGTTAGGATGTCAAGAGATCTAGAGAAAGGCCTTCAGCAAGTAAATGGACCCCACTCTGTGAAGGATTATGGGACAACATGGATAAGGGTCACACAATATAGGTAGGCATGGATGCATTGAGGTTTGTACTATTGAAGGGTATATCACATTGATGAAATCACAGCTACGTAATGAATCCATGTAAGCTCTGAGGACCCTTAACCCAACTCTGACTCACTTTGATTGTTCAAATCCTAGACCCTAGACCCTGAGTACATGTCCTCCTCAAAGTTCTAGAGGCAACCTGGAGAGGTAAGGGGAGATTATCTCTATCATAAAATTGAGCCTCCATTGGTATGCATCCCTCCTCTTCCGCCATCATTTAGTCAGCCAGCCTTAAGGAGTTTTTAGAAAAAGGCTATTTACTAAGTTGTTATAGTAAAATAAAAATGGTACAAACATTCCTATAAAAATTAGTGATACTTTCTTCCACCAGTACATATAGAGTTCAGGGGAAAGTGGGCTCAAGCTTAGAGTCCATAAAGCAAAGGGGTATAACTTACAGCTCCTGGTTACTAGTTTTTTCTCTCATTTGTAAGGTATTCAATTAGTTTCCCTTAAGTATAGTGAATTGCCTTCAGTTGATCCATTAGGGAGGGAAGAGGGGTAAAGGAATGGTGACAGGATATCAGTGAGAAGATGAGAAGCCCAAAATCTTCCAGATCTTTTTAAGTTTACAAGGTCCTCCTCCTGGCAAAGGATGGAAAGGGGGAAGGAGACCTGGCTGAGGTCAAACCAAGGCCCTCTCCCCCACACACCCCATTCCTCCTCAAGGATATGCTTGAAGAATATACTTGTTGTAATTTTTAGGATTCAATGCCTTTTCAATTCATTTGATAATTTATGGACTACCTCTGCCTATCCTAACAGGGTGCAGCTAGGTGGCATAGTAGATAGAGCACCAGGCCTGGAGTCAGGAAGACTCATCTTCCTGAGCTTAAATCCGGCCTCAGGTACTTATTAGCTGTGTGATCCTGGGAATGTCACTTAACCCTGTTTGTCTCAGTTTCCTCACCTGTAAAATGAGCTAGAGAAAGAAATGGCAAACCACTCCATTGTCTTTTCAGAGAAAACCCAAAGAGGGGATCATGAAGAGTCAGACAGGACTAAATAAGAATCCTAGCAGGAGTCTAATGCAACATCATTCCAGTTGGAAGGCCTTTTGGCATTTAGTCTAAGCCTTCAGTGGTTCTTAACTTGGGTCACTGAGCTTTAAAAAAAAAATTATATTTATTCAATGTAATTGCTTTCCTCTGTAATACTGTGTATCATTTCTACATTTTAAAACATTATTCTGAGTAGTTTATTCTTTCTTTATTCATGCTTTACCAGATGGAAAAGGTTTCCATGACTCAGAAAACAGGTTGACAATCCCTCCTCAGAGGCCTATGATTAAGTGATTAGATTGATTGAAACGTGCTCTCAATTAGTTAAGGTATCCAAGTTCAAATGGGCTGGGGTGGTTTCAACCCTTTCCACATATATATATATATATAATTATTAAACTAAGTTCTATAAAATTATAGAATGTTAGAGCTAGCAAAGACCTTATAAAACATGCCTTTCCTCAACAGACATTGAAGTGCCAGTACTATGTTTTGGGAGAAATCAGAGATAAGACGCTTTTATCACAACTTTGTCCTATTACAGCACCCTTCTGAGTTCCTCTTATAGCCATATCCACCCTGCCCCAGGAGGCTGCATTTCAGAAGCCAGTGAAAGTAGATCCTGAGCCTCATATCTTGTTCAATGTGCAAAGTAAATATAGGAAACAAAATTTCCAAGTATTTAGAGAGAAGGCTGTGGTATGGTGTGGTGTATTGGTTGGCCTTGAGGTCAGTTAGATCTGGGTTCAGATTCTGACTCTGACACACATTGGCCCTGGGATCCTTGGCAGGTCACTTAAGAGTATTTGTATTACATTTTCAGCTTTGCATGTTGTCTTATTTAATAACCTCTCAACGCTCTACCCGAGTTCTGCACTAGGCCCCTTTCTACAGGCCTGACGAACTGGAGAAAGTCTTAGAACTGCGCTGGGCCTGGGATGCCCTCAGCAGCAGCTCTCACTTGTTCTCCCTACACCACGGTGCATCTCGAGCGCGCACCACATGAAAGGTGCACCCCTTGCACGGCTGCGGCCAGCGGGGGTGTGATTATACCTGGCCGCATGCCTGGCTGCCTCCTGGGGTTCTCCTACTTCTGGGAAAACTGCACGGATACCTTCTCCCTCCAGCTCTACGGTTTTTCCCATTTATTCCCCACTACCCCAAGATCCTAACCCCACACCTCCGCTCTCCCGCCTGACATTGCCCAGCCCTGCCCACCCCCGCTCTGTCACAATTGCCCCCACCCTATCGGCCTCCTCTCGTTCCTTTCCTCAAACAGTAGCCTCCTATTGGCCGAAGACATCAAAGAAGGCCAATTACCAAATTGTACTCGACCTGGGGCCCAGCCTCCTCTTGACGAGCGGCTAATTGGACCAATGAACTAAAAACCCTAGTAAGTAGGCGGCACCGATGCAATGAGAGCTCGGGGCTGGTAGAGTAGCGGGCGTGCGGCCCAATGGATGAACCGTAGCCCCTAGATTGGGGGCGTGGCGAAGCTGGTCGTTAGGGGGCGTGGCGTTAGTTGCCCGGGAGGGGCCGGTAGCGGCGGGAGCTGCGCGGTACCGGTCGGGGGTTCCGGCTGCATTTCCATGAGAGCAGCCGGCAAGAGCGGAAGAAGTGGAACCGAACCGGGGGGGAAAATCACGTCGCCATCGCCAACCAGCGGCAGGTAAGAGCCGTGAGCCCAGCCTGGGAGCCCGGCAGGCGGGCCTCGTCTGCGGGTGCCATATCCATACCCCTCCGCGGATCCCCCGTCCATGCCGTCTCCTTCCCCTGGACCTCGGGACGGCGGATCCCCCCACCTTCCCGGCCCTGTTGGCCGCTTCTCCTCGGCTCGTCCTGCCGCCTCTTCCCCTCCAGCCCCGCACCTAGTCCTTCCCGGGCTTCCTCCGCCCCTGTCCTGGTGTCTTCCCTGAGAGCCTCGCTCCGGGAGCTTGTCCTTTTGGAGGTGCTTCCTTGGCGGAGCCTCCTCACGCACTGGTACCCGAAACCCACAGCCCCCGCGGGCGCTGCCTGCCCCATCCCGAGGCCTTGCCCCGAAGCCAAGCCCCTCCGCTTCTTTCCTCCATTCCTGGGGCCTCCCTGTCCTCAGCCCCGGGAGGCTCCATTGGAACTGGATCTGGAGTGAGGGGGTGTCCTGATATATAACTCTGTTAGTCCTTTGTCCCCTTCCCTTCTTTCTCTTTCTCTCCCTGCCCTGGAGCTCCTTGGCGTCTATGCTTACTCCCACCACCCCCTCCCATCCCCTAGGGGAGGGCTCCCTGGGTATCTGGAAACCATCTCCAATGAGGAACTGTTGAAGGGAAGCCGGAGGTGTTTACCCCGGAAAAGAGAAGACTTGGAGGAGATATGCGTGATAGCTGTGTTTAAATATCTGAAAGGCAGTCATATGCAAAAAGGGAGAAGTATGGGCTTGTTCCTTGTCGTTCCAAAGGTCAGAACTAGGACCAAAAGGCTAAAGTTATAGGGGGGCACTTTAGGCTTACTATAAGCCGAACTTTTGTTACATTTTGAGCTGTCCAGCAGTAGAAAGGTAAATTCTTCATCAAAGAATTGAGCACCCCATCATTGAAAGTATTCAAACAGAGACTTGGATGACCATCAGCCAGAGAGGCTGCAGAAGGAATTCTTGCACCGGTTTGTTGGGATGTTGGATTAGATGACCTCTAAGGTCCCTTTCTAGTCTTTAGATTCTATGAGCTATTCTATGTGGTCTTTAAGATTTGAGTGCAAGGGATGAATAGTGAGTGTTGAAATATAAGGTGGTGAATTGAGGACCCTCAGCTGTGAAGTAGCAAAGAATATGGATCATATCCCCAAAGACAGGAGTTTATAAACTACTATGAAAGATAATCGTCTGAACTGTACAGATCTAGCTGTCAATCTTCCCTCCCCTATTGATCTCTCCAACCCTTTAATTTTGATAGTACTTGCTAGTTGCCCTGTACCATCCTGGCATTCTACTATCCAGAATCAAAGGCAGTCTTCGAAGTTTAGGCTCAGAAGAGACACATTGGAAGGCTGTATGTTTGTCAGATTGAATATCATGTCCTCATGATGCTTTTTGAGCTTCTGCAGCATTTCATTATATCCAAATTAAAGAACCAAAAAATATGAAAGAAAACCTGGCCCAGTTCTGCTGCCACCCCAGTCCATTCTGAAAAAAACCTTAAATAAAAGAAGAAGCTTTGTGTTTTCTTCTGAAGGATAATCTTTTGTAACTTGTGGTTGAAATGACAGTGATAAATCAGATGACAAATGCAGTAGAATTTCTGTTTTCTGTTGTTGGGCTTTAGGGTGTCTAACTGAGAGAGAGAGTGAATCGTAAAATTTCTTGTGGTCTTCTCCCCTCCTGCCTGCTTTACCGTGGGTTTTCCTCTGGGTAATGAATTTGGAACCATTCCTTACCCTCCATGTATTAGGATAATTAGAATTTACAGCTGGAAAGAACCTTGGTAATCATTAGTCTAAATCCTCATTTTATAAAAGAGGACAAAAATCCAGAAAGCTTTTGGCATGTACCCCAACTCACATATTCTAGTTAATGGGAAGTAAGTAGAGTAGAGCCCAGATCTCTTCACTCATAGTCCATGTGGGCATAGCAGATATATACTTCTCTTTCTACTCTTTCCTCCCTTGTGATGTTTGGATTGTATAGTGTTATTTGTTTATGGTTTTGATTTTTTTTTTACCATCTGTTAATTTTTTTGTCCTTTCCTCCACCCAGGATCTTGCTAGTGTTGGCCCCATTATCATCTTGATCCATCAAATGTTATCCTGATTCTTACTTATAGATTCATGTGTTTTTTTACAGGGATAGGGATAAGGATAGGGACTGGACCTGTGATTTTATTGGCATAGGGAACTCCTAGTGAAGAAGGAAACTCTCTGCCAGTGAAGGTTAGCACTCTCTTCAACTTCTGGTCTTAGAGTATTGCCTAGGCCTAGAGCACTGAGAAGTCATGCAGACCAGATAAATTATATTTTGTTTCATTTCCGTTTTCCATCATATGTTAGATAACTCTAATGCCAACAAATTTTAGAATCAAATGCAAGTTTTCACAATCTCCTTTTAAAAAAAAACCAACTTGCTTTTCAGCTTGATGAGGCAGTAAAGAAAGGCCATACAGACATCAGTTTCAATGGTACCCTATTTCATTACGCACTGAACTTGATAAAGTTGTTGTAGGTGTTATTCTTATTTTGGCTTATTTATCAGTCATCTAGATGATGCAATTTGATTCTAAATTGATGAACATTTAAAGACAAAGTTTTCATGAAACATTGATCCTATTAATGCTTTTTGGAAGTCCAGGTATCATATGTCAGCTGCATTCAGGCAAAGACTTAGTCATTTGAGTAGGGGTGGAATAAGTAGTTCTGTGTCTTGCCTTAAAAAAAGAACTATGACTGATGATTGCTGGGAATCTTAAATGTTCGTTAGTTTATCAGTCTTCCTCCCTTTCTTAATTTGTGCTTAAAATGACAATGACAAACTAGATGGCAAGTGCAGTACAATTTCTGTTTTGGGCTTTTGGGTTTTCCTTCTATTTTCATTCCCACCCTCATCTCGGTGGGAGCCTTCATGGCTTTTCAAAATAGCAGCCAAAGGTAGTTCAGTAAATATACCAGCCAGGCCCCTTCAAGCCACAAGATACTTGTCATCTTTATTTCATCCAAAGCACCAGGCAGCTTTAGTTTTCCAGCCAATATATTTATCTGTTTTCAGGACATAGCTAAAGATTGTCATTTCTGTCTGACTGGCACATTATTTTTCTTCGTTTTCCTTAAAGGTAGATTTTCAGTTGTTTCTAGAGTAGTTCCAAAATTCAGTCATTTTAGAATTTCAGAAAATAAGCAAAACTGGCTGTTTGTAGGGTGTAGTACAAGTTCGTGGGGGAGACAAAGAGGTCATAAAAAAATGATCCATGCCCTCATGGAACTTCTAGTCTAGTAGTACAATTTATGATTTATTAGAATGTTTTTTTTAAATAAAAAAATAACAAGGCTACTTCCTCTTTAGTATTTTTCATATGATGATGAATTAGTGAAAGGGCATCTTACTTGCTTTTTAGTTTTTCTCATCTCACTTATGTACCTTCTTCTTGAGAATTTTTGGCATAGCTCCCAGTCTTTTGGCTTTCCACTGACCCCACATTTCTGGTTTCTCATTCATAGTAGGGAGACAAATTCCATCTTTTTCTCACCTTCTCTTTATCTTGTTCCATGTGCTCTTTGGCTGACCAGGGCAGAAAGATGGTTTCCAGCATCACAGAATTTCATACGGCAGGATTTCCTCCATGACATAACTGCTGGATATGTGCCTGTTTTCACTGAGCTGTCATTTTAGCCAGCACTCTGCCACTTGGATTGGCATAGGGGTATTCTGTGACAATATCTCTATGCCTTACTGAAACTTCAGACATTGCTTAATTCATGGGTTAGGAGATTATAATACAAGATGTTATAAGCCTTGCTGTCTCTTTTGGTGCTAAACTAGCCTCTTTCAGGAAGATCATGCAATTTATTGATGTGTTGTTTAGGTTTGTGTTTTTTGCAGCTTCCTAATGTTCTCAGCCTACTTGGGGGACAGTTTCCTTATTGATAGCCCAATAGTACTTTCTTCCTTAGGGTACTTTCTTTTTTATTTTATGTAACTTTTATTTTACTTCTTTTTTTCAATTAGCAGGCACTTATTTTTCTCTCCCCTTCATCTCCCCACCCCTGCCATAAAACAGAAACAAAGTCCTTGTAATAAATATAAATGGTCAGCAAAACAAATTAGACATTAGGCGTGACTAAGGTTTATACCTCAACCTGCATCTTCAGACCATCACCCTTCTTCCAGGAGGTGGGCAGCATGATTCTTCATCAGTCCTCTAGGATAGAATCATAGTTGATCAGCACATTGATCCAGGTTTTTAGGCAATCTAATAATTCATTCATTAACCATTTATTAAACTCCTGCTATGCCAGGGCCTGTTAGGCACCAGGAAAACAGAGAAAAGAGGAAAAAGGAGGGAAGAAGGGGGGGGAAAACCCCTTACCCTGGCCCTCAGGGAGTTTATATTTTATTGGTATTTGTAAAATCAAGATTCATATATTTAATCAAGCCTTAGATATTCTAGTCCAGGCCCCCCCTTCTGCAGTTAAGAGGTCTAGGAGGGGTTAAGTGTCTTGGTCAAGGTCATACAGCTAGGCAAATGACAGGCAGCTGCCTCCTTCAGTATTCTGGACTCAGAAGCGTTACGTTCTTGGATTTAAAGCTTTCTTTTCATAAAAATCATGAATATGAAATTATCTGATTCATATCATTGCTTGAGGTCTGGGACATCTTGCTGCAGTGACACAGCTGGGTGCCCTGTTTGTATAAATTGGCAGCTGGAAGAAGGTTCGTTTTGTGTTCTCCTTCACTGGTAAAAGAGCTGATAAGTAAACAGCTTGTTAGGGAATTGGAGCATTGACACCCTTGGATTTTTCCCTAGTGTGCGTGTTTCTTGGATTTTCCCTAAATGGAGGCTCAGAATTAGTTATTTCAGTGGTGCTGCTGGAAATCAGTAAAATTAACTAGAAGATTTACCGTAAACAAGCCAAGTTGCTTGGCTGATGGCTACCTAATTCAAGTTTTGAAACTTAACTTTTTCTGTTTTTAGTGTTACTACAAATCAG